GCATCATTGTCAGGGAACGTTTCCGAGCAGGATAATGAGGTGGCTTCGGGGATGCTGTTGGGGGAGCTCCTCCCAAGCATGCAGGGCAGCATGGGAGAAAGCATGAAGGTCTTGTTTGAGAATGTTAACAAGTGGGTGATCTGGAGATGAGTGTTGACATCTGGATTGCAAATGAGAGATGGTTGGTAGGGTGGAGCGCATAGGTGCTGGAGCTAGGGGTGTGGTGGGTGCTGCCGCATCCCCTGGTTTCCAGTACTTACAGGGTTTACACTTTGGTTCAATGGCTCTCAGCTCCCCCACTTTACAAATGGTTCCAGCCCCCCTGGTGGAGAGAGGCCATGCTATCGGATCAGCACTGTACAGCCATGTGGATTTGGATCAAGTGACTCTTGGGTTCACAACTGATATAACTTCATATGGATTTTAATCAAAAGCTTGGAATAAAGAAAATGTAGTATGTCCAGATTTGCATAAGTCGGGTTTGCGTAACCTGGGGAGCGTCTGTATTACAAAAGGGCTTTAAAGTAACTTAAAAACCCCTTCTCTCTCTGTAGCAAAACCTCACTGCAACTCACACCTGCTTAGATTGAAAGAGGGAGGTTAAAATTAGATGTCTGGGTGCTACTGTCTCTGATTTTCAGGGCTGGTTTTGCTGACGTTTACCAAGATGAGGTGGATGTTAAATTTGTCTGTGGCTTTATTTGAATAACATCACATTGATATAACTGGAGTTTCTGTGTAGGAAGCATTATCTAGCAGTTAGTGTGTGACCAACAGACAGGAATTCAGGGTTCTGGACCCCGTTCTACCACTTCTGCATCTGTTAAATGGAAATGCATCCATACCACCCAGCGATGTTGTGAGGCCAAGCTGGTGAATATTGGCAAAGCAGTGGGTCAGAAGGCTGTATAGAACTACAGAGCATTATTATAGCTTGCCAGGTATCTTTTATGGAGCAGGATTTTGTTTCTGCTTCATAAGTTACCTCTACCTGACTGGAAGCGGGACACCGATGATGAGTCTGATAAAGAAAGGACTTTAATTTTTCTTAGCCCCTCTTCGCAGCTCGAGACAGATTGTCAAGAGCTCGGCCTACCATAGTCTGTGCTGAATTTTACCACGAATTTCGCTTCCATTTTAGAGACCCAGATAAGGGCCAGATTTTCCGGAGTGCTCAGGTTGTCAGAAGTTCTAAGCATCAAGCGTGCTGGAAATCCAGCCACTTACTATGGGGCCTAAATAGAAGCTGACCTCTTGTGAAAAATCTGGACCCTATGGTGACCCTCAAGTAATAACCAGGGGCGGCTCTAGGCACCAGTGCAGCAAGCAACGTGACTGGGGCGGCAAGCCGCGGGGGGCGGCCTGCCGGTCGCTGTGAGGGCGGCAGTCAGGCAGCCTTCGGTGGTGTGCCTGCAGGAGGTCCGCCGGTCCTGCGGATTCGGCGGCAATTTGGTGGTGGGTTCGCTGAAGCCGCGAGACCGGCAGATCACCCGGAGAAACGCCGCCGAAGGCCGCCTGACTGCTGTGCTCGGGGCAGCAAAAAACATAGAGCCGCCCCTGGTAATAACCCCCCCAATCTCCGTGCCATCACATTAGCTAATGGAACCGAAAGAACCAGCCTGTGCTGCTGCTGAAAAGTCAAGCCTATGACCCCATTGGTAAGTGTTCCTTGTCCCCGTGGGACTGATGGAGAGTTCTGGTCTTATCACCCGCCAGAGTTTACACCTGCTTTGCATTTTGCTCATGCTGTCATGGAGCTTTCTTGGAGAAAGCAAATCGAATGGAATTCTATTCTAATCAAATCTTGTCCCAATAAAGCCCTGTTTTAAGGCGGTGACTCTTTTTAAGGTGGCACTTTAAAAAATAATAATAATTCCCCCCCCCCTTTTTTTTTGCATGTTCCAGCTGTACTTCAGAGCATGGTTGTAATTCCCTTTATCCCCTCTCTAATAATGAAAGACCCTTGTTGTATATTGAAATTGGCCCTGGCAGTGCGTAATTATTTCACTGCAAAGTCTCTCTCTATAAGAGCCTCCTTTCTTTGGGAGCAAATGGCAGAGACCCCCGCTGCTAGGACCCTCCTCAGGAAAAGTTTATCACATGATGAAGGCAACAGTAGGAAGGAGAAACCAAATGGCAGCCCAGTCCCTATAGGAAGATTCTCTCCCATTTGGAAGCCTAATGCTCTACTCTCGGTGCTAAAATTCAGATTGCTTCATGGTTATATTTGCCAATATATGTTTATTCCACCCTCTCTTTCCCGTCCTCCCCCGATGAGGTTTTCATCGCTGAGTATTAACCTAATGATTCACAGAAGGGTTCTCTTAGTTCCATAATTCAATATGGTAACGGTGACTCACGTAGTTAGAAGGATATGTGGGAGGCAACTGTTTTGTTCCTTAAATCGATGCAAGAATTGCTATGTCTAAAAGCGAAGTCTAGCGAGAAGCTCTGTCCCTCTTTCTCTTTCATCTGTTTCCATCATGCAGCTTCATCGCACGGTACATGTTTATTGAGGAATGTTTGGTTAAATGGATCCAAGCCTCGATCATGGGTTCTGTTACGTGTTGTATATGTGAGGCAGGCAAGAAGATAGATGTTCTGCAGCAAATCCTCTCCACCTTCCCCTTGTTTTATGCACCCAGGCCATGCAAAAGAGAGCCGAGAGTTGCTGCATTTTCCTATCTGGGACTCCCACACAATGCTAGTATAGGTAGCGATGCACCCAAAGCTCAGGTGCAGAAAGTGGAGAGAGAGAGAGAGAGAGAGAGAGAGAGGAACATAAAATCTCCTGACTATTCTCAGGGGGGAGATTTGCCAGCAGGCAAATGTTAGAGCAGCCCCTAGGTTTCTCTAACCTCCACTGTGGGCTGAGCAGAGAATCCAGGAGCTGTTATCTGGCTTCCTGATATCCATTGTGTTCCACTGCAGCCAGGGTGAACGTGATGAAGCAGAGAACCTGGCCTTGTGATGCCGCATTGAGCAGACAATGCAGTAAGTGATGGGAGGTTTTTCTCAGGAACTAAGCTTGGTAATGCTGTGTGCCTAGAAGGTGCACCATGTGGGGTCAGGGTTGGATTGTGGTTGCAAAGTTCTGTGATGATTTTGGTTTTCTGTCTCTGATAGAAGTAAAATAATTTGCATATGGGCATCTTGCCCCACGGGTTGAATTTTCTAATTGCTTCTCTTTTCAGTTTCCCTGCTTCCATGCAGTGGTGCCTGGAACTGGTTCTCACCATGTACAGTAAAATAAAATATAGGCCAGTACAGTAAGCCTGGCATGCAGGAAAATAAGACACCGAGCGGGTTTTTAGCAGATGAATGAACTTGTGAGGAGTACAGATTTGATTGCCTGACACATTGTACCTCGGCAAGGAGTGAGATGACCCAGTTTTGCTTGGTTTAACTGACTCATTCAGTTTCATCTGACAGTCTGCATCCCACAATAACAGAACTGCTTGCTAATGCTTTCCACTAGAGGTGATCAGCATTTCTCAATCGAAGTCAGGCTTCTGGATCGCAAATGCTAATCGTCTGCTTTTTCTCTGCCCCCCTAGATAACTAGTTCTCATGGGTTCTTGACCCAGGCAGTGCCGCATTTGGCTTCCCCACTTGTGGTTTCCGTCACGTGCACAGAGATTCCTTGTGTCCCTTTAATAATAGTAAAAAAGCTGTTGAGCACAGCACTGTAATATTCAGGGATTTCGGGTAATGAGGTTTACACTGAAAACGAGCACCCAGCTTGCTAATTTCCTGCTGCCTCGCTGCAAGCCAGAGTGGCCCAGTGGAGGGGGCTCTGGACTTCACTGGGACTCGGAAGACCTGAGTTCTACTCCTAGGCCTGACACTGACCTGCTGGATGACCTTGGGCAAGTCCCTTCCCTTCTCTGTGTTCCTTTCTACTCTGTTTGCCTGTCTTGTCAATTTAGACTGTAAACTCTTCAGGCCAGCGATTCTCTTGCTATGGGTCTGTTCAGCACCCAGCCCAATTCACAGATTATAAAGCCAGAAGGGACCATTGTGATCATCCAGTGGGAACTCCCCCTCCCCCCAGGGGCTGCAGAGATGTGCTAGCAGCCATCCGCTTCCAGGAATGGCGTGGGGCCATGGCATGCAGGCAGCCTGCCTGAGCCCTGCTGCGCTGCCAGCCCGGAGCCGCCTGTGGTAAGCGCCTCCCGGCTGGAGCCTGCACCTCACACCCCCTCCCGCACCCCAACCCCCTGCCCCAGCCCAGAGCCCCCTCCTGTACCAAACTCCCTTCCAGACCCTGTACCCCCTCCTCCTCCCCAACTCCCTGCCCCAGATCAGAATCCCCCTCCTGCACCCAAACTCCCTCCCAGACCCTGCACGCCCTCCTGCACACCTGCCCCAGCCCTGACCTGCACCAAACTCCCTCCCAGGAAATAGACTTGTATACAGGGGCCCCACAAAATCAAATAGTCCTGGCCCTACAGGAGAGTTAATCCAGCCCTGCTGACCAGTGTGTGTTACATATCCCCCTCTGTGCCCCATCCACTGAGGAGGTGAGTGTCTGACAGTGCTCCTCTGCTGCTCCTGGCTCTTTAGCTCAGTCTGTAGTCCAGGGGTAGGCAACCTATGGCACGCGTGCCGATTTTCAGTGACACTCACACTGCCCGGGTCCTGGCTACCAGTCCAGGGGGCTCTGCATTTTAATTTAATTTTAAATGAAGCTTCTTAAACATTTTAAAAACCTTATTTACTTTACATACAACAATAGTTTAGTTATATATTATAGACTTGTAGAGAGAGACCTTCTAAAAACGTTAAAATGTCTGACTGGCACGCAAAACCTTAAATTAGAGTGAATAAATGAAGACTCGGCACACCACTTCTGAAAGGTTGCCGACCTCTGCGCTAGTCACTCATACTCTTAGCTCTGGAGATCCGTGGGTTAACCTTGGTGTCAGCCAAGCTGGTGCAACTGCGTCTGCAAAAGTAGTGGGTAAGGTATACATTTGTCTTGTTTTTTATTGTTTCAGGTGAATATGGCACTGACGGGGAAGCCCTCCAATGGGTCCCCCAATAACTCCAGACCTGACCAATGGAATACAGTTTTTCATCAGAAAAATGAAATCATCACCAGCTTAGTTTCTGCCTTAGATTCAATGGTGAGTGAGGCTGCTTGCAAAGGTGATTTTGGGGGGAGGGGGAGCGGGGTGGGGGGCTCTGTGTGTGTAGTGGTTACACACCCATAAGGATCTGTTCACGGTTCAGGATAACATTGAAGGATAGGTTCTGAAATCAGCTGATGCACATTAGAGCCCTCTCCAATGGGCCACAGGGACCCAAGTATGAAACCCAATACTTTAGCTAAACAAATGGGGCATATTCGTTTCAAGTGATGATTCACAATGATATTGCAGCAACCTGAGAGGGTTTGACAGCCCCTGAAATCATAGGAGAGGCTCCGGATCTGAAAGCTTCGCCAGACCATTCTGCCACCCAGCAGCTCATTTTACATTACGTTAATTGGGTTGAATAAGAGCTGGATTTAGATGGGAAGGATATTGAGTTCATCAAATTGTACTCTGCTGCAGTAAAGCCCATCGAGCTGTTGGAGCTGTGAAATGAAAATCACATGCCCACCCTGACAATCCGAGGGGCCCTAAAGTCAGCTCCAGTTAATCTCGCGATGTGTATTGTTTTCCTATTAATATTTATGTTGGTACCAACTGAATTTATTTTTCTTGATGTTTTACCACTGTTGTGGTGAGCTTTTATGCAACAAGGGAATGATAACAATGGCTTTGATCTCCAAGAACAAAGAAAATAACTTTCATGTCTGTTGACGTAAAACTCTCTGGAGAAATCTTGCACAAGTCAGCCTTGCTTACATAAACAAGATAACTGTCTGGATAAGTTTCTTGGGCCAGAGCTAATCTTATTTTTAACTGAAAAGTGTGTGTGTGTGTGTGTGTGTGTGTGTGTTTACTCACACATGTAGTAAAATGTGATGAATTAAATATCCCTCCCATCTAAATCCAACTATAGTTAATTTTTATATAACTATGATTGTGTGTGTATACATCTATATTTGTGTTTCCCTCCGGAAAATGCTAAACATACACCTCAAGGCCCCATTAAGATATAGGTACCTGAAAACCAAGGCACTCAAAATCACTAGTCATTTTTGAAGAGCTTAGCCATTTATATATATTACACAAAAAGCCTACTGCATATGCACAAGGAGGTATAGTTATCATCTTTCATTACATGATCACGCACGTGCAAGAATTGCACAAGGAACCTTAATTCTGGCATTTCCTAACATTTTTGAATGCTTGTCTTTGGAATCTTAATAATGTTGTTTTTAACGTACGCTTTTGAGTGCGATTCTATGTATGTTTCATATAAAAATTTAAAAAAGAACTTGGAGTTAATTATTATTTGAATTCTTGGTTTATACATATCCATCCCACTCATTATTCCATTTTATATTTTTTTTCCCTTGACTGTTGTTTAGTTTAGTTGATTGAATGAGCTAATGTACCTCTTGCTGTTTTCATGAAAGGGATTTTTTTTCCCAACTAAGCTTTTTCTAGTTTACTGATGGTAAATCATTATCCTACCCTCTTCATGTCTCCCCCAAAAAGGAATTCTTTCCCATTACTTGGGATCCATCCACTTTTTGAGAACCAAGTCCAAAGGTGATGAAGAAGGCAATCTATGTTGCACGTTGATAAGAGGCTGTGTGACTTTGGGCTGGTCCACACTAACCCCCCACTTCGAACTAAGATACGCAACTTCAGCTACGTTATTCACGTAGCTGAAGTCGAACTATCTTAGTTCGAACTTACCGCGGGTCCACACGCGGCAGGCAGGCCCTCCCCGTCAACTCTGTGTACTCCTCTCGCGGAGCAGGAGTACTGACATTGACGGTGAGCACTTCCGGGATCGATTTATCGCGTCTAGACAAGATGCAATAAATCGATTCCAGAAGATCGATTGCTTACCGCCGGACCCGGAGGTAAGTATAGACGTACCCTAAGTGTACAAGACTTGAGTTGGGTCTCCGAGTATCTAAGCTCGCATAGTTACATTCTGAGGAGCCGGAAGAAAGTGTTAATTACACTGGGCTTTAGCTTCCTTCTAGTTGCTTTTCCTGCTACACCCATGTCTTCCAGCCACTTAGCATGTCAATTCTCCTATCTAAAAAATTCCCTAGCCTTGGGCCAAATTCAGAGCTGGTGTGATAGGAGGTTTAAGTGGGTGAGAGTCTCAGGGAGTCTAAATTTGTGTAAATGCTGAGGAGGAAGGAAGAATGGGTAACCCATTCATTATTTGTATTGCTGTAATGTCTATGAATGCCAGTCAAAGATCAAAGCCATGGTGCTAGGTGCTGTACAGATGCTCAGTAAAAAGACTGTCCCTGGCCCCGGCCCCTAAGAGTTTACAGTCTGGATAATGACAAGATGCAGGGTGGGGTGGGAAGGAATAGGACGAGGCAACGGTAAAGCAATCAAGTTATTGTACTATAAACAGGAGGTCTTGGCTCACCACCTGCCTAGCCATTGTCAGATCAGATGTAAGGCTCCCAAGACCAAAAGCAAAATCCCTAGTGGAAACTCCTTTGCGTTCAGTGAGTACTTCACTGGATTGTGTTTTATCCCCTTAAACTTCCCTCTGAACTTGGTCCTTAATCTCAAGACAAGGAGGGTCTCTCTTCACAGAGTTGGGGCCTCTTAGCTTCTCGTATTGGGTTTAGACTTGATGGTAATAATCAAAGATTTCTTCAAGAGTGTGGGGCTCACTTAGGAGACAGTGTGAAGGAGCATACGTGGGCTATAATTGGCATTAAATAGAGTCAGAAAAGCACCAGATGTGTCCCCCATGCACACCTACAGTTTGTGTAGCTCAAAGTGTTATGGACATGAGCATGACCCCAGCATTCCACGGAGGTGCACCGTTCAGAGGAAGCCAAGCCAATGTGTGAAATTATTTGTACTGCCTTTTAGCAGGATTATTAAAAATTTTATTCTAACAAATATTTCCATGTAACTGAACAGGGGCGGTCTAATAAACCGGGAAACCTGGAAGTGCTGTATCTGATCCATTGGTGCATGGCAACTGCCTTGGAATCTCACGTGCCATTTGAAATCTATTGTGGCCTGGGTTGTGAGTTTTAAATTTATAATGAATGGCCTTCCGAAGGAAGTGGTGGAAGCCCCTCAATTCAAGTCACTTCGAAATCCAATAGAGAGAGGCTGGTGTTGGGGAAAGAACTTGGAAGGGGAGGGCTCAGCTTCTGGCCCTACCACAAAATATCCTGCATGCCCTTGAGCGAGTCACTTAGTCTTTCTGTACCCCAGTTCCCCTCACTGTCAAATGAGGATAATAAAATTTTGGTTCTTCTGCTCTGTCTATTTAAATTGTAAGCTCTTTGGGGGCAGGGGCCATCTGTTGCTATGGATTTATTCAGCACAGCACAATATGATTCTGCTCTCAGATGGGGTTTCTAGATGGCACAAGAATACAAATAATTAACAACAACATTGGAAACATATTGTCAGGAACAATGGGTGGATAAGAGACCCTAATAGCCCATAATTTCTGTTTTGATTAAATACAGAAGGAGAGGGTCTTGACTGATGAAGACTTTGACTGCTAGCCAGCAAATATTTTGTCATTGAACTAAAAGTTCCCTGCAATTCTTTCTTTTTAATTAGAACCGACTAAATATGTTAATTCTTTCTCACAGGAAATTTTAGCAAATGTTTTGTTCTGTTCTTCAAGTGCTTGCTCATGTCCATTCCAATAGGTGTGTGCGCACCGCGTGCATGATCGTCGGAAGGTTTTCCCCTAGCGGTACCCGCTGGGTTGGCTGTGGAGCACCCTAGAGTGGCGCCCTCCCCAGCTCCCCTGACCGGGGTATGCCTCGCTCTCCGGGGGTTTAAATCCTGCCAACGCTGTGGGAAGCCTATGCCCAAGGGCTTGCCGCACGCATCGTGCCTTAAGTGCCTGGGTGAGGGCCAGCAAACCGAGAAGTACTCCATTTGCAGGAGCTTAAGACCCAGGACGAAGAGAGAGCAGGACTATTGCCTCAAGCTCCTTTTAATGGAAGCGGCTCTTTGCCCTCAGCCGGCACCGGAAGCGGCACCAGTGACATCAGTGCACAGCGCACCGGCTTTGGTGCAGGACGCCGCGGCACCGAAAAAAGACTCCTCCAGGGAGCATCGACACCACTGCCCGGCTCACAAAGCGGGTTCGAGCATGTGGCACTGCTCTCAGTCCCCGGTGCCGCATAAGAAGAAGGTGGACAGAGGCCGGTCTCCCATCAGGAAACAGCACAGGGATCCCAGTGGGGTGTATCCTACGTCAGGGCACCCACAGCCTGGCCCTCAGATCCCGGCACTGTTGACTCCGGCCCTGCCAGGGGCTCCATCAAGTCTGGTGTTTGTGGACTCCCCGACTCGGGAGGAGTTGGAGGACGAGATTGATCTCCCGGCCGCGCCGGATCTTATTGCCATGATGGCACAGTCCTGGCCTTGCGGGCGTGAGCAGCGGCGCAAGGCCCGGCACCGGCGATGGTGAGGGTGCAGTCTATGGCACCTTTTGCGGCACCAATGGCAGCACTGCCACTCATTCAAAACCAGGGCAAGCCAACGATGCTACGGCGCCGCTCCCCAGCACCGTGGTACCGTTCACCAGCACCGTTGGGCTCCGCCCCTCCATGGTCTGGCTCAGATTATTCGTCGGACTCTGATAATGAGTCGTCAATCTGCAGACATAGTCGGTACTGGTCTTCCAGGACGCGCCGGCGGTATTCTGGCCCCCACAGTGGCAGGGGCCGGTACAGTGGCCCTTTTGGACTCCTTGGGCCTACCATCAGCTTGAGCTCCTCCTTGGGCCTACCCTGTGCTCCTCCTTCAGCCACGTCGGTGCCGCGCCATACTCCCACAGCACCTGAAGACCCCCCAGGTGACAAGGACCCTGGGTCTTCGCAAGCAGGTGCAACTCTTGAGCCAGCACCCCATGTGGTACTAGCGCCATAGTCTGCCCCGAATAGGGCAGACGTACCCGAGCCAGACTCCAGAGAGCCTGAGGGTCAGGAGGACCTGGTCCCACAGGCCTCATCATCCTCTTAGCCAGATGAGGCGGTGGCTGGCACCTTCACTACCACACTCCCAATAGGGTGCACCAGGACCACCTTAGGAGGGTGGCCCAAAACTTGCATCTCCAGGCTGCGGAGGTGCCAGAAGACTCGGCCCCAGTGGTGGACATTGTTGCCCTGGAGGGTCCTTTTAGGGTAGCCTTGCCCTTTATAAAGACCATACAAAACACCACAAAGGTGCTATGGCAGACCCTGGCCTCCATACCTCCCATGGCCAAAGGGGTGGAAAGGAAGCATTTTGTGCCGCAGAAGGGGTACGGACACCTTTTTACCCACCCTTAGCCTGGAACATTAGTGGTGGAGGCGCAAACCACAAAAAGCGGCAAGGTCAACCGGGTCCTGCCCGAAAGTCGCGGGACGCTAAGAAGCTGGACCTTTTTCGGCCATAAAGTCGACTTGCTAATCAGCAAGCAGTGCTCAGCCCTACGCCTTCAATTCCTGGAGAGCACTAGCTAAGTTCCCAGAATTGCTCCCGTCAGACTCACGCCCGGAGTTCGCAGCACTTCTTGAGGAGGGCAAGGTGGTGTCAAGGACTTCCCTCCAGGCCGCCCTAGACTCAGCTGACACTGCAGCTCGGACCATGGCCAGGGCAGTCGTCATGAGATGGAGTGCCTGATTACAGGTTTCAGGCATACCCCCGGAGGTCCAGAACACCATTCAGGACCTGCCCTTTGACTGTGCGGGCTTGTTTGCCGAGAACACGGACACCCGCTTGCACAGTCTGAAAGACTCGAGGGCAACATTGAAGGCCCTGGGAATCGACACTTCCACACCCCAGAGGAAGCCCTTCAAACACCAGCCCTCCCCTCTCCCTCCTGCTTCTACTCCGGACCCCCGAGGCAGGACTCAGCCAGGAGAAGGGGTAGGAATAATAGGAGGTGCCAGTCGCAGTTCTCCTCAGGCCAAGGTCAGGGCTCATCCAAACAGCCCCCGGGGCCGACACCTAACTTTGGAAGGTGCGCACGAGGACAGAGCACCAGGACTCAGTCTGGATCCTTACCCTCCCTTTGTAAACCGGCTATCCCACATCTACCGTGCTTGGTCCCAGATCACAACAGATCGCTGGGTTCTGAGCCTGATGGGGTGGGCTATTCTATCCAGTTCTGTTCCCACCCACCTTCCCCGTCCCTCTTCAGGGACCCTTCTCACGAGCAACTCCTTCTCCAGGAAGTGCAATCGCTCCTCGCTCTGAGGGGCCATAGAGGAGGTTCCTCAGGAGTTCAGGGGCAAGGGATTTTACTCCCGATATTTCCTTATCCCCAAGGCCAAGGGTGGACTGTGACCTATTCTGGATCTGTGAGACCTCAATACATTCATCAATAAAGCCAGGTTTCGCATGGTCTCCCTAGCCTCTATCATTCCTTCCCTGGATCTGGGGGACAGGTACTCTGCCCTCGACCTGCAGGACGCTTACTTCCATATCTCCGTTATCCTGCCCCACAGACGGTTTCTTCGCTTTGCGGCCAGTGCTACCAGTTCACGGTGCTCCTGTTTGGGCTCTCGACGGCCCCCAGGGTGTTCACAAAGTGCATGGCACTCGTGGCAGCCTTCCTCCGTACCTGGACGACTGGCTCAACAAGGCCAAGACGCAAGCACAAGCAGAGGTGCATGTGGCCCTGGCCCGCACCATGTTCCTCAGGCTGGACGTGCCAGCAGTTCTGCTCCTTTCTGAACCACAGCCCGGGCTCCATTGTGGACGCTTTTCACCTCACGTGGATGAGTCACATGCTCTATGCGTTCCCGCTCTTCCCTCTCATACAGAGTCCTCCTCAAGGTCCGCCAGGACAGGGCTTTGTTGATCCTCATAGCACCGGCGTGGTCCCACCGGCACTGGCTCACCACGCTGTTAAGCCTATCGGTCGACAGACCAGTAACCCTTCCCTTATGCCCGGACCTCATCACAGCAAGCTCCAGCAGCCCAACCTGGAGTCCCTCCACCTCACGGTGTAGAAACTCCCTGGTTGAACCCGTTGGAGCTCCAATGTTTGGACTCAGTGAGAGAAGTTCTCCTGGGAAGTAGGAAACCTTCCACTCGAGCCACATATCTGGCAAAGTGGAAGTGGTTTTCTGTGTGGTCCCTGCAGAAGGGTATCCCACCGCAGGAAGCTCCAATTCCCCTAGTTTTGGACTACTTACTGGACCTGAAGCAACAAGGGCTGGCAATATTATCTATAAAAGTGCACCTGAGTGCCATCTTGGCCTTCCACCCAGGGGCAGCAGGTAGATCAGTCTTCAGAAACCCCACGGTGGGCCGATTCCTCAAGGGCTTGGACAGGCTTACCCCCACATGTGGCAGCCCGTTCCCCAGTGGGACCTCAACCTGGTCCTGTCCACGCTCACGGACCCTCCATTTGAGCCCCCGGCCACTTGCCGTCTCGCCTACCTCTCTTGGAAGGTTGCCTTTCTGGTGGCTATAACGTTGGCCAGAAGGGTCTCTGAGCTCAAAGCGCTTACGTCTGAACCCCCCTGAACTTTTACAAAGACCAGGTTCAGCTGCGTCCTCACCCTGCATTTCTACCCAAGGTGGTCTCTCGGTTTCATGTGAATCAGGACATCTTTTTACCGGTCGTCTTCCCTAAGCCTCATGCCACTGGCAGAGAGCAGATGCTCCATTCCTTGGAGGTCAGGCATGCCCTAGCCTTCCACATTGAACGCACAAAGCCATTTCGTAAGTCACGACAGCTTTTTATTGCAATCGCCAAAAGGATGAGAGGGCTTCCCATCTCATCCCAGCGCATTTCGTCGTGGATCACATCCTGCATTAGAACGTGCTAAGCCCTGGCCAAGGTTCCACCCCCGCCGTTGACGGCACACTCCACACGAGCTCCGGCTTCATCCGCAGCTTTCCTCGCGCACGTCCCTGTTCAAGACGTATGCAAGGCGGCAACGTGGTCTTCCATCCACACCTTCACGTCACACTACGCCATCGCCCAACAAGCGAGGGACGATGCAGCATTCGGCAGGGCAGTCCTACAATCAGCAACCAGGTGAACTCCGACCCCTCCTCCAGAGAAACTGCTTGGGAGTCACCTATTGGAATGGAAATGAGCAAGCACTCGAAGAACAAAAAACGGTTACCTGCCTCTCGTAACTGTTGTTCTTTGAGATGTGTTGCTCATGTCCATTCCAAATCCAACCCACCTCCCCTCTGTCGGAGTCTTCCGGCAAGAAGGAACTGAGCAGGCGGCGGGTCGGCAGTGTCCTATATACACCGCCACGAGGGCACCACTCCAGGGGGCTCCACAGCTGACTCAATGGGTACTGCTAGGGGAAAACCTTCCAATGATCGTGCATGTGGCGTGCGCACACACCTATTGGAATGGACATGAGCAACACCTTTCCAAGAACAACAGTTACGAGAGGTAGGTAACCGGGTTTTGTTTTTTTTAATTCCTGTTGACGTTCTTGGTTTTAAAAAAAAAAAAAAAAAGTTTGGTGTTTGGTTAAAAAAATTTTTTTTAAGTCCAAACTGAAAATTGTTTCCAAAACAACGTGTTTCTGGGGGTTTGCTGAAAAAACAAAGTTTTACACTAAAATGAAAATGTTCGTTTTGATTGAAAAGTCATTTTGCATAAAAAAAAAAAATGTTTCATGGGAAAAGTGACGTCCGGCTCTACTTACAATGTGTATCTGGAATACAGATAACTCCGTAAATACACATTAAATTGATAGATGACCATGTGAGAACATGAGATGCTTTTCCATTTTCCCTCTTCTAACCCAACTGCTTTTCCCACCTCCCTAGTGTTCCGCACTTTCCAAACTAAACGCCGAGGTAGCCTGCATTGCAGTTCACGATGAAAGTACCTATGTGGTTGGGACAGAGAAGGGGAGAATCTTTATGAACACAAGGAAAGAACTGCAAATGGATTTTCACAAGTTCTGCAGTAAGTACCCTCCTGGTGCGGGTTAGAATCCAAGTCCACGCTTGGTAACGAAGAGCACTTTTCACGTGATGCTGAGGTGAATGTAGAATGCTAGTGGCAAATTCAAATGATGTATTTGGTTTCCTTGCTACTTTATTGTGCGACATTCATTTTCCATGTGGCAAGGCCACTGATGGATAGCTTGGGCCCCTTTTCTGTAGTCAGCAGAGGCAGACTCTGCTGTTGGTCACGGCTTGCCTTTCTCCGTTGGTGGCTGTAGTGTAGGACTGTAAGCTCCCTGTGAGCTTGATTCTGTTTTACACAAGTGCTTCTTTGTGCCATGCTGGCCGTGTAAAGAGGCCTTCAAATGGATGCCGATTACATTCACTCTCTTTGAGGCCCGTTTACACTGCCATAAAGGGCCCTTAGCGTAAAGGAGAATTAGGCCCAGGGTGTTTATTGGTTAGGGGCACTGGCAAAACACTTACCCTGCATGGCATGAGAAGAAATGTTTGTTCTCTTCCCTTTCGATCCCCACCATGACCCCGTGCAAGTCGGCCTGCGGAGTGGCGAGGTCCCCGGGTGGAATGACGATGCAGGCGCTCTTGAGCATGCTGTCTTGGTCCCCATCCCAGAGGCTCAGCAAGACACTAGCATCGGCAAGGGAAAACCTGCGGGCAAACGGAGAACCAGGCGAAGAGAGTGGGAGATAAGTGTTACGCCATCCTCCTCTGTCTGTGTTATCTGTGCCAAGGCCCAGCATGTCCTTGTAAACCACCGTAGCAACTGAAGAGGTGACATGGACACTGGGAAAGCAGGTGACCCCTCCCAGTCTTGAGCCAGCAGACCCAGCCACAGCCATCTCTCCTCCCCCCACCTCCCCGGAGGTCACTAAAGACTCAATTCCTTCCACAGACCTCTCTAGCAGGGTGTAGGCAGCACTCCTGTTGTGTTGTGATTCAGCCCCCGTGGAACTTGTTTCAGGATCATAAGAGAGACATTTTCCTTTGTTAGTCTCTAAGGTGCCACAAGTACTCCTGTTCATTTTCCTTTCTCTTTCTTTGACACCATGGTCAAATAGAGCTAATCTTTGGGTCCAGAGGTTAAAGAAATGGCAGCCCACTCCAGGCCTGCTCGGTGTAAGGGTTATACATCGATGTCTCTCCTCAAGTGATCGAGGTCACCATAACACTGAGGCCTGGCTGAGATAGGTGGCCTGAGGTTTCCTGTAAGCCTCTTGCCTTGTCTCCGTATGTTTCAAGAGCTGCATTCACAGGGTGCAAGGACCTTAGGGAAAGGCTCTGTCCTCAGGACCAGAAAAAGGTATCCTTCTTCGAATGCTGTAAGGTTTTGGGCTAGACTGTGTCTGTTAATTGCATGTATAGCCCTGGTCTTGGAAAGCCAGCATACGGGTAAAACAGTTGGTGGCACTAGCCCATTTCAAGAATGACTAGGAATAGCTTGCAGTGAGACTGGCAACTTACATTCATAACTCTGCTAGACACTAGAATCATGGTCTCAACAGAGACGCTGGTTTTATGGCTCATCACAACAATTTGTAACCTCCTAATCCTCCTCTGTCCTCTGATTGCAGAGGGGTTAATTGCCCACTTCATTTGAATTGGTTTCTTGCAACATGTGTTAACCCCTTCTGCGTAACGTTCTGTCCCATGTTTTGTTTAGCTGTGACACTCTGGTTCCCTTTCCCAGACCTGAAGAAGAGCTCTGTGATTCTAAAGCTTTTCTTCCACCAACAGAAGGTCGTCCACGACTCCAGTAAGAGAGATTTCCCTCACCGTCCTTGTCTCTAAGAATAGTTTTGTCCTAAGCTACTTGAGCTAGGAGAATTTCTGGGCGAGGTGCCGTATCTATCACAAAACAATTCTGCGCTTTTCAGTCAAAGTAGGACTGAGGACATCCCCTGTGCTCGCACCAAAGCCGAGCTCACTGAATCAGAGAATTGTTCTCCTTTCCTCCTTTCTGCTCCAAGCCAACACAAGTGAAGAGAAAACCTGGACATAAATGAAAGCCCTAAAGATCTATCCAAATTGGACCAGAGAATTCAGCAAACCAAACTCCCTATTTGCTATCACAAGTTGGAGAGGGGAAAATATTCAAAGATTTCACAGCTTGATTCTCAGCAGCTGCTTTCTTAGAATCTTATAAGGCCAAGACATTTGCAGTTGGGAACCTTGAGAGCCACAGTATGGTGGCCACAATCTGCTGATGGTAACTTTGATCCGTCAGATGCCGCCTTCAGGAGGTGTGTGCTACGTGTTCTGGCGCATGAATGGACTCGCTCCTGTGGAGACGCGAGAACAGAATTATGTTCTATCACTATTATCTTCTTCCTACCAGAATTTTCTTTGCCACTAGTCACATCCCATCAGTGCCAGGTCAGTGGGCATGTCTTAAATTCGAGAAGAAAATTTCTCTTATCAGTCAATTTCTTTTCTCAGAGATTGCAAGTCCACTAATCTGGATCCACCCTCAGTTTCAGTTTTTGGGTGTTGGCCTCTCTAATCGGACTAAATTCATAGATTCATAGATTCTAGGACTGGAAGGGACCTCGAGAGGTCATCGAGTCCAGTCCCCTGCCCGCATGGCAGGACCAAATACTGTCTAGACCATCCCTGATAGACATTTATCTAACCTACTCTTAAATATCTCCAGAGATGGAGATTCCACAACCTCCCTAGGCAATTTATTCCAGTGTTTAACCACCCTGACAGTTAGGAACTTTTTCCTAATGTCCAACCTAGACCTCCCTTGCTGCAGTTTAAGCCCATTGCTTCTTGTTCTATCCTCAGAGGTTAAGGTGAACAAGTTTTCTCCCTCCTCCTTATGACACCCTTTTAGATACCTGAAAACTGCTATCATGTCCCCTCTGTCTTCTCTTTTCCAAACTAAACAAACCCAATTCTTTCACCCTTCCTTCATAGGACATCATGTTTTTAGTTGCGTGCCTGGTTTATTACCTTAGAGTTTCACAGTTAATGTTACGATCAGTACTTTGGCTTTCGGAGGACTCTGGCAAACAGGAAGTGGGCAGGCCAGTAGCAAAGGGCAGCTCATGACTGACGGCTCTGTACGCCTCTGCACACTGCAGGGAAGGGACCCAACTTATCCATGCCAGATCGGTGGATTTACAATCTCTTAGAAAATAAATGGACAGGAAAGAGACATTATCCCTTTCTCTTGCAATGCCAGAGAGAAGATGAAATGGCAATGCACTGCCAGGCAGTGTCGGTAAAGGAGCAAGGTCAGTGCTTTCCTTTCTCAAGCCAGTGGAGTGCAAGCATATTGCAGAGGCAGTGCAGTTTATTGCAGGGGACAGTTTGCCAGCTGATCAACTCCCCACACCCTGCCCTCTTTCTCGTGCCATTTCCTGCAGGGGCCTTTTTCCAAACGTGGCTGCTCTCCTGCTCTGTCCTCAGTGGCTTGAGCATTAGCCTGCTAAACCCAGGGTTGTGAGTTCAATCCTTGAGGGGGCCATTTAGGGATCTGGGGCAAAAATCTGTCTGGGGATTGGTCCTGCTTTGAGCAGGGGGTTGGACTAGATGACCTCCTGAGGTCCCTTCCAACCCTGATATTCTATGATTCTTTACCTATAGGTGAAATGCTGCCGCAGGTGATGCAAAGGGCAAGGATTGTGGAGGGAAGGCAATGTAAAAGAATGTACTGGTGGCCAGCGTCCGCTGCTAGGACGAAAGGCCTATGAACAGGAAACCTAAATCTCCTGTCTCTGAGCCCATGATCACCGTGGCGAAGGATGTCTTTGGCACACAAGCTAGTGCTTTGCTCTCACTTTCTCATCTCCTTGCAAAAACAAGGGAAATGCCTGGCGGGAAGAGTTCAATTTGTTTGTCTCTCCTAGGGTGGCCTTACAGGGAAAATAATTGTAAGAGAACAGGCCGCCGTTCTGTATGACGTACAACTTGTTAGTCAGTGAGGCAAGCCCTCCGGTCGCTACTAGGGTGGTGTGAGGGCGCTCGTTAGAGAGTCAGTCACTCTTCCTCTCCCACAGCTGCGAGAAGATCCCACCACCCACGCTGAATGTTCCAACCCAAGACTGAGACCAGCCATTCCCTCCTGGCTTTTGGTGGCTCAAGGCGCAGCCCCATCCTGTTGCCCATCTCCCATGATGCTGCTAGTCTCAGTTGCGCTACTTCTGATGCACCCAAAGCCTGATGCTGCCGTGTCCTGCCCTGACGTGATGCTCTGCCCCCAGTGCTCCTTGTGCAGTCTTGAGTGGTGAGGCAAGGAAGGGGCTTGAAACATGAGGTAATCTGTTCCTACCATCAGCACACAGCCGCTAAACTCAAACCATTTGTCCCTCTGCTGCTGGATTTTTGAAGTAGGACATATCCTGCCTGGGTCTGGAATGAGCGTCTGTGCCGCCTCACGACTAATGATGGTTCCAGAGGGAGATAGGAAGTCAGACACAAATGGAGAGCAGATTTTTTTTTTTTTTTTTGCACGTGCTGGCTGCACTAAATACTAAAGTCTCGTGTAATAGAAATTAGGTGGCAAAAATAAACTGTGTGTGTGTGTGTGTGCGCGCGCGTGTGCCTGATGTTGATGGAAACTGTATTTGTGCTTAATCCGTTGGAGAAATTGCTCAAGAACAGTTCATGCTCGTGAAAATATTAGCCTTATAAAGCTGCCAGGGTCAGCGTCTGCTTGGATTATTCCCTGCCTCTGTGCCGGCTGTACCAGCAACGCGTGCCTGGGGTCTAATCTAACTTACGCACTTGGCTTTGTGGAAGATTTCTCCCTTCCTCTATTGGTATTCTCTCTTTCTGGGGTGGGAAGGCTGAGATCTGTTTCACTCTGGTTTATTGTAATCTGAGAAATCCACCTTTTGATAACTATCCGTCTCAAGCTTTTTAATTTGGCAAGTGAGCCTTCACCTGGCATGAGGCATGTAGAAAGAGGTGCAGGTCTACATCCCATTCACACCACGTATGTGGACCGATTCAGAGGTGAAGCGTAATGTAGAAGGTGTAAAAAATAGGATG